CTCACCCAACACCTCGTTCAAGGAAGGTAACTTATGAATAATCAGATGTAAAGGAGTATCTTTTAGCTTTTAATATACGGCGCTTAAAAATAAATGTGGAATTATGAAGACAAAGAAGATCTCAGATCTTGGAATCTTCCTTGTCTCAAGATCTCCTCAAAGAATCTTTCAATTCCAACCATTAATAATTGGCACAATGAACATGATATCTCAGTCAACAAGTGCTTTTTCTTGTTGTTGTGTGTCGATACATCTGACTAGGTGTCAACCGTTATTCTTGTGCATTTTTACTGCCTTTTGACTGTTGATTAAAGTTTGGAAAGCATTTTGCTGTTGACTAGAATAACTAATTTGTTCACAAAGTTGCTCTTAAAAGTCTTACTCTGGTTTTGATGGTGAACTGTTTATAAACATGTTGCTCTGCATGTTGTAAAACCATTTTAAGGATAATAGACACAGCAGCCTCATTTGGAAAGTATGCAGTGCTACTGTAGTTATGCATTCTATGTTTTTCCTTGAGCGTAGGACTTCCAGAACTGTTTGCCTCTCAGAACAGATAATTTATTTATACAAATGGCAAATACAATAACAGTGATAAGACTAAGTAGCATTATTCTGGGCATAACACTAATGGTAGCCCTCTAGCCACAGACTAGTAGAAATTCAGTCTTGGCTAGTGGTTTTCAATTTCCACCAGCCAGTTTGGCTATGAACAAACTGAATTTGTTGTAACATCTAAGAGGTCACTAGCTACTTGGCTAGCAAGTTGAAAAGTTAGTGTCAAGCCCTGACTACTGAATCAAATATTAAGCTCATGAAAAGGAGGAAAATGATCCCCAGCTTAGAAATTTCTTGATCGTTTAACATATTCTCCACGTCATTTTCATAAGAAATGTATAGAGAACAGTGTGGAGAATATGCATACTGATGTTAGGTTGTAAAGGTTTAAAACAGAGTGTTGTGTAATCATCAAACTATCGGACTGAGACCACTTGGGTCTTTGTCATAATCTGAGACTCACTTTTCAACAGAAGAATTCCTAACATGTTACAGAAAGATCACAGAGTAGCAAGAAGTTACAAAAGCTGAAAGAAATTTTTTTTTATGTTTACTAGGCACTTCCCGAGTCAATGTGATGACTGGTGATTTACCAGAGGATTTCTTGCGGCTTTCACCAGCAGTGAACCAAGCGCCTCATCCTACAGGACAGATGGTTCCTGTCCCGCCTCTCACTTATTACCAACCAACAGGGTTCATGCAGCCAATTCAGGCACAACACACAGGAAGATTGAGTATTACAGTTCAACAGGTCTGCTGAGTTCAGGCTTAGTTTTAAGGCCATCCCCTTTTTTCCCTCTTTAGTGCTGTCTGACCAACTGGGGCACAAGGCCTCCTATTCAAAGACTTCTTATGATTTTTTTTGAATCTGACTGACTTACCCAATATCAGGAAATGCATTTGATACTACACAAAAAAAAGGAGGGGAGGGCCTCATGAAGAATGTTAAATTGAGCACTTGCACATAGTGTAAGTGAGAAAAAGAGGGGATGGAATAAACATTGTTTGCAGATCTCTTTTAGCATAGTCAATGTTTGGTCCATTTACCATGTTTTCTATACTGAGTAGAAATAAGCAGGCATCTTGATTGGTTCTTACTTATAATCTTTGGAGGACAGATACATAGATGATGTCACCATTAACAACATTTTCCTTTGTTATCATATAAAACAAATAGGTTCCAAATAGTTGTAGGCCTGTACAGCAATAGATCACAGATCACATCAAAATGTGGCTGAAACAGAAAAGTGGAACAGCCAAGTTTGTCACAGATGTACAGTAATGTAGGATCTATTTGTTAAATAGAAATCCAGTGTAGCTTAATGCATGATTAAAATGAACACCAGTTAATTTTACAAGCTCTATTTATTGCCTTCAACAGGCCAAGTTGGCTAAGAATTATGGCCTTACCCGCATGGATCCTTACTGTCGAATTACAGTGGGAAACCATGTGTTTGAAAGTCCAACAGCTCATAATGGTTCAACAAACCCTCGCTGGAACAAGTTAATGTCAATGTATGTGCCTTCACAGGAAACTTATTTAATATTAATCCTTTCAACTTCACTCCGAAGATCTGATTGTTAATTCTCCCCTCTAGCTGTTACACATTTCATTGTAAATTAGTTACAAGAATATTAATTTTGTGTTTAATCAAGATAATAATTTCTGCCTGATAAGTTTGGGTCTTCTCACAACCTGTTTGCTGGATAATGTATGGATATTATAGGGAGAGGTTACAGGATAGTCACTGGTGGGAGTTAAATGGTTAATAGGTACCACTTGCACATAATTCATAACTTGTATGTAACTAACAGGGCTGGGGGAATTATGCACTATTTTATGAGAAATTATGCACCATTTTTTCTGCAATTATGTACCAAATGATGCACAAATTATGCAAGTTGCACAATATTAAAAGTATTGAATTTTACATATATTTTAAATTTATATGCAAGTCCATATTAAGAAAATCTAGTTATTAATAATTATTTGCCAGGATATTGCTTAACTCTCTCTTTGGCCATTATATTGTAATTTTTTTTCTTTGGTTTGAAAAAACTTTCCATTTTAAACACGAAAAGAACAGAAAAGAAAGTTTCTGGAATAAATTTACCAAATGGCACCATTTTTTTTTTCGGAAGTATTGATTGGTTTTTTTCCTCCAATCATATTGCTTGTAAGTCAACAATTAGAGTCCAGGTCTCCAGCAGCAAAAGACAAGAGGCCTGTTCGATTTTACTTGTTTTCCTGTGAGTTTGACACGATCTTTTCAATTAAAAATACAGTTTTTGCCATCAAAATTCACTACAATTTRAAAAAACTATTTTAAAAAGTTTTGTAGGTAGGAAAATTTATCTTTTAGGACATATTTTTTATTTAAATATCGAGAATTATGCGGAAATTATGTACTTTTTACAGGATTATGCGAATGATGCGTTTGAGCTAAAATTATGAGCTTTTGCATCGGCGCATAGTTCCCCCAGCCTAGAACTAAGGGAGGTTGGCGCATATTTTTTATCATTGTTTTCCTAAGCCAAGTTAGACAATCTATGCAAGTACTGAAATATGGAATTTCTTTGCTTCTGTATGCTCTGTTTAT